TTCCATTTAAGAGAGTTTCTCCTATTGTTTGCTTTGCTGCTGCCATGCTGCCCTCTTGAAGGGCACTTAGGGCAGAGATCTTCAAGTGAAGGTATGAGTGGAGTGATGACTTTATTCTTGTAGTTTTGGATGTAAAGAAGCCAATCACTGCTGTAAATGAACTGGGACTAGAGCCAACCACTAGAATGAATCTCTGCCATTAATCACCTCAAGATCAACTGTCTAATGAAACATTTTCTTAGACAGTCATCTCTTTTTTGGGGATTTCTACACTTTTGACTACAAAAACAAACTTTGAGAGCAATCCACTAAATTAAAATTTATTTATCTAGCTTTCAATGAAATCGTATTTTACCAGGAATCTTCCAGAGAACCCACCAGAAACAGCTCGAATTCTGAAGATTGTCCTGATATCACTATCCGTGTTATGCAAAATGTTACCGGGGCTCTGAACTGATGAGACGTGAATTAGAAAATGTTGCAGGCTTAGTTGGATGCAGCACTGACGGTGACTTGGTGCGTTTGTCTGTGACAGCCACCGCTGCCCATAAGTGCCGGGAAATCTTCAACCAGGATTTCAACAAATCGGATGATTAACATAATCAGTTCAGCAGACGTAGTGTAAGAGCAGCCAATAAAACACACCAGAGGTACAGAGCAGGGGATGAGCTGATGTAAAGTGTTGAAATAAACCGGTGTACTCACCTATCACACAAGCTGCGTCGTAACGTCGGGTACTTGGCGCATCCGAGAGAAATACAAGCCCAGAGCTGCTGTGTCACACTTCACACCATCCAGGCGCACATGTTGCCAGTCCCCGCCGAGAAAAGCCACAATCATAAGCCGCAACAAGAAACCTGTGAAGCTCCAGCAGCGGACTGTGTCGCCGTGGGTCCTTCAGCCTCTGGGAGGCGGCACAGTGCTACATGCTCAGGGCGCCACCCTTTGCTGGACCTCTGGGACTATGTGCGCACCTGTCCTCTCTCACCCTTCACGCCGTAAATAGCGGGACATGAAGCAGCAAACTCCCCGCCTCAAAGCAGCTCGATCTACGGTGCTGCTCAAACTGTGACCGCTCTCCTTGCGACGTGCACAGTTAAGAGGCGCACAGGACGCTGGTGCCACCCACTAAGGAGGGTCTGTGGTGAGCGTACGGACAGGGAATTTTAATGAGGACTGCTGCAGAGATCCCTCCCTGAGCGGAGAGTCGTGCTTAAATCCACTGTCCAGACTGGAAAATCTAAAAGTCATCTTACAGGAAGCTCAACTTCTGGCCACCTGCCAGTGAACAAGCATTATCTCACACCTATGGAACACCTGTTGATTGGAAATAATTTCCTGAATCAATGGACACACCAGAGTCAAACGTGCATTAACACTATTTATTTTCTAAAAGCCTTCACCTGTGCTGTCTGTCTCCGACTGCTGCAGGAACAGGGCTTAGTTTTGAGCTGCAGCATTTTGACAGATGGGCTAAAAGACAATAGATGCAACATACTGTATGTGATCGATTATTCATAAATACTTTAAGCCATAAAATAAGAACACTTCGCGCAGCTTCTCAAATGTTAAACCTTGTTTGCTTGTTTAATTTTCATTTTTATTATCTTTTTGGCTTTTAATCTGCCATAATAAGTAATTTTCACTATGACCTGGGCTCCAAAACATTGTTGGGCATATTAAAATGATACAGGAATCAGTCCTGATTTGATTCCTCAAATTAGCTGAAGATGGGGACTCATTTCAAGTCTACATGAATGCTGGCATCTGAGCAGTATTTTACCAAGGTTGAAGAATAAATGGGATGGTGATACTTGCAATTATTTGATTTCATGAGCAGTAACTGAATAAAGTAGAAGAGTTGTGACTTTACAAAACATTCTTGCAACACAGGTCAAATCTGATCAGGCTCATTCTTTTACTTTGAAAACATATTAGACCATTTAATAAGACTGATTAGTTCAGTGGTTCTCCATCTGGAACTAAGCACCTAAAGTTGGAAAGGGTTGCAAGAGGATAGATACTGAGACAACCACATATTTTTTGCTTGTGAAATGTTGGGCAGTTTTTCTTCTTCTTCTCTTTAAATTATTCAAACGTAGCTATCTGAAAAGTGGCACTAGAACAGCTCACAACTTACTGCATTAAGAAGTAACTTCTGTAAGTGACCTGAAGCTACTCTACTTTACTGGAGGCCCCTAGAAGCCACTGGGTCAGAGTCATATTTCCCTTGTCAGACCAGTGCTATTCTCAAAGAGGAGCTCAAACCCGAGTCTGGAGGGAACACTGACCTCAGCCGGCACCCTGGTATGAAACAGCACATCACTATATCAAAAGTCAAAACAAACTCCGGGCAAACAAAATGTGGTATTTACAATTCTGGGAGATCAACAGCCCATACAAGAAGCTCATAATCACTGGGTAGGGA